TAGAAGAAAAATCTACTTTAGAAACCCACCAAAAAATGAGCTTGCACTTAATTAAATTAGGAGGTTTTCAACATTGAATATATTTAGGTGTTGCTTTTCAATGGCTTATTTTTTATTTATTTATTGCTCTTCAATTAATCATTTCAATTACTTCAACCCATTCAATCAACCAAACTTATCTGCCCACCTTCACTTTCTTTTAATTCTTGTAATATTGTATCATTTTTTTATAGAAATTTTATTTTTATTTTTAAAAAAATTGTATAATTTTATAACAATTTGATAATGTAATATTTTATCATATTTTATAGAATTTTTTTTTTTTAAATTTGGAATATTATTTGTGATAATAAAATTATTTTTTTATTATTTTTTTGTTTTATACTAACAATTTATTTCAATCGTCTTAATTAAAAATAAAAAAATTTCTTCTATTTTTAAATAGTATAAAAGTTCTATTTCCAAACTGGTTTTATACTAACATTTTATAACCCAAAAAAAAAAGAGAGACAATTTTATATTACATGTAAAATATTTAATTTGTTAATTGTTAGGCTTATAATGGTAACATATATAAGTTCTTATATGATATTTTTTTTAGGCAACCGAGATATTCAAACACAATTGTCAGTTGACTCTGTCTAATCCTCGGAGGCATAAAATACCTTACAAATCCAATAGACTAAGGTAATTACACAAATATTCTCATATAATTCAGGTACAAGATAAGACTCATGAGTATAGTTAACCCAGTAGATAAAGGCCTAACCATCCGGCATTTATATGATATTTATTCAAGATTGAAAACGGGGCACATTTTTCTATAACAAAATTTGAGCATTAATTATAGCTAGGTTAATTTGTTTGAATATTAAAATTCATGACATTAAAATTAAATAACTCTAATTTTCTGATTTATGTTATGAACTTACTTGTAGTATTACCAATCCCACATTAGAAATTACTAATTAGTGTCAATTTAGAAAATTAATACAATCAATTAATGTTATAAAAACGAACCCTTTAAATCATAATATAAAGTATAAATCATATAATAAAATTATATATTAGATATTTTATGTAGATACATATATTCATGATTAAACCCAAATTTGTTGGATGAAAATTAATGGATAACAAAAATTAGCCTAACCAAACCAATCAAGGCAGGTCAAGATCACCGAGTGCTTTTAATTTACATCACTTAAATAATTAATAAATTGGTCCAGTTCAGTTCACCCACATCTCCATTTTATTTTTATTTTTAATCCAAATAATAATTGTTCACCATCTTTCACTACCTAAAAATTTAATTTTAACTACTTGTTGCCAGATTCTGCCATGTTTTTTAGTTAGAATTGTTTGGTATAAAGTGGATATATTCATTTATTTTCTTACTAATATGAATAAAAATAGTATTCTTTGTGTTGTCAGTACGACTGAAAATTCTCAGATGTGAACGTTTTATTTTCTAGACACATAAACCAAGTTTTCTCATGGTATACGTTAGACGTTGAATTTGTCCCATATCAACAAATTGATAGATTGTTACGGTGTATATATGTGATTGAACTCCCTCTTTTTTTGAACTAGCTATTGAAAGTGAATTCTCCCAAAACCCATTTATCATACGAACGAACCAAGTTTGAAATTTGCAATACTAATGGCTTTAACTTTCAAGGGTGTAGTAGGGAAGCATTAATTTATAAGACAAAAAGAACAATAACTTAAAACAAAATTTCAATTGGTATGGAGAACAGTTGCAACTATACACTCTTGATTAGGTGTTTTGCCTACTCCAATTTATTTTTCCACAGCTTCCATAATTATGTAGCTCAATTACTTGCAGTTGCATATGGCTGAAAAAAAACAAAAATGGACCATGAAGATTCTCAACATATTTTTTCTTAATTTTTTGGTTCATAAGTATATACGTGCATATAATCGCGTATAAATATCATTAGATTTAGTATACGAGATGAGGATGTACAAATGCCTTAGACGGCATACAAATGACAGACCTACAAATGCTATTAACAGCATACAAATGTCATTCTCTCTAACGTACAAATGTCATTAGACGAGCATACGAATGACAAACGAACAATATCATTCCTCAACATACAATGACAAACGTACAAAGCCATTAGACGAGCATACAGATGACAAACGTAGAAATGTCATTAGAGGACAGACAGATAATGAACATACATGCCATTAGACTGGTATGCAGATAAAAATACATCAATTCTACTTTAACACTTCTTCCAGAGGTGCATAGACATTTGATGCAGATATCAAAGCATTTAATCAAGACAAGGCTACATGGATTAAAGCCACCCATCTTCATTTTATAAAATCTCATATATACAATTATACACATAATCAAAATTAGTAAATATAATCTCAAGAGATTGCATTCTAATATCACAATGAATTCATCCTCCAGAAATGATTCAACCTGGATACATGAGGCATAAAAATACTTAATATTAAAATAACTAATCACGTTGATGTTCAAAATAGAATCAAAGAAAATATTTTAAATACATGAACATATAGATCATCTGGTATGTCTGTGGTAATCTAGACCTTCTCATGACGAGACACACAACGCAGATTCTAGAATAGAAAATATTTCTACGACTACGTGTGTGTATTTATAATTACATTATATTTTTTTTAAAAGCTGGCAAATATCTAGCTTCATGTTAAGCTAATACTGACACTGTACTGCATATAATCTCAATCATTCAATAAGGTGTATCTTACAGAGTAGAAAGACTATGATCTGGAAGAATCTTGACTGAGATTTGAGGTATCAGCACGATTCAAGCGTTTCTTCCTGTATCGCCAAGCACTTGAATACGTGTAGCACCAAGGCTTCGCCAATATGGGGATTCATACCTGCATGTGAAGAGAAAAATGATATTGTTCCATCTTGTATTAACGAAAGAAATTTTGTTTCTTATCAAAACTTCCTAGAAAATACTGCTTATCCATTGATATATTTTGTTCTTTCGTATATATCAAGAAAGTAGGATTTGGCTACAGTATCGATAAAATATGAGCATTTCATAACATCTTACAAGTCTAACATTTTTATAACTTGTAATAACAAGTCTCAACAGAATTTAAAGTCCTACTTTGCTAGATCTGTTTGTTTTTTTAGAAATAACTTTGTAAAACAATATCAACATTTTGTAAAGTAAATCAGTTGAACTTACTAAAAATATACTTTTATATGCATAAGATATAATTGATTAGAAATAACCTTATGGCTCCTTGAACGCGAGTTTCCGCAAGAATCTAGCGAAAAGACTAGTAACTTCTTCAATATCTGATGCTCGGAGCGAAAAGGCTTCTACATTTGTTAAGCATTCTACTGTCCTGTTGCTGAGCAACCGCTCCCGGGGATCCTTTTTTGCTTACTCTGCAACAGAAATCATGTTGATGAAAATAATTGTTATTGTTTTCATGCTAAGGCGTCTCAGTTGCGAACAGAAGTCAATTCAACTAAAAGGAGTTAATACTAATCTAATAATACCTCTATTTACAGAAGAATACTCAAGAACCCCATGTAAGAAGTTCCTCACCACAACATCCCCCTCGATAGGGAACTCTTATCCATCTTCTCCCGTGCTCACCATTTTCCCACCACAATAACACCATCTTTTCTATCAGACTACCGTGATATAGAATTTTGCTTTCTTTGATGTATGTCTTTGTCTCAACCTCTCACAAATCGAATCTAATATTGGTTCGTCTCAGAGCAAAAATCCGAACCTGCGAAATGACACATTTCCAAGTTTACTACGGATTGACATAATTTGACAACATATATCAATGACCAAAGCTCAAGGAAGTTACAAAAAGCTACAACTACTGCTAACAATAATGATGATAACAATAAAGACAACAATTTCGTTTTATGCGCATGATGACCTGGTATACAACTTCAGATTTTTAGATATCTGTTGCTTACTTTCTTCACAATTTGAAGAGATGATGCGTCTGATGTCTCTCTAAGGTTTTCAGGCAAATTCTCAAACAGCATTTCTCATTCACCCCTCTGGTTCCGCCCAATTATATCGTTCGGCTGCCCGTACTTGCCTATTCATTACAGCAATTTTATAGTCATTTTGTAATAGATGTTGCAAATCATCTGAAAAGAACTAGACAAAGAATACATTAACATTCTCATTCTCATCAACGCCATTCGTAAAATCTATGATCTCTTTAACACGAGAATAATACCCTTGATCAAGCCCACCTAGAGTCAGCGGAGACTAAACATCTCACGTAACCAAACCTAAACCAGATATTCTGCATAAAAGGTCAACTACTTTTTCATTTTGCTTTAGAACTAAAGTCTATAGTGCCTTTGCCGGCATGATCCTCTGTCACTCAGGAAAAAGCTTTACTTTTGGGATCCAATGAACAATTTACTAGGGGATCAAATAGGGTTCCGATCCATGATTCTAATTAGATAGAATCACAACACTGCATATTACTTGGAATCGAAAATGAAGAAGAAGTTGCTTTTGTTATAGTAATAAACTTGACTGCCTATTTATATTGTTCATTCAGGTGTTTTCAGTGACTTGCATGGTGGGCACGTCTAGAGATAAGACAACAGCCCTGATGGGGCTTGACAAAGATCAAGTTTAAACACAATTTCCACGAGCCATGTGTCAAACAAACACATATTTCAAATGTAATAATTCACAGTATGATAAAGTTCAAACTAGGGTGAAATACTTTCTAAGGTCTTCGGCAAGCGCCTATGGCTCATCCATTGCTCCACATCTGTCTCCTTAGTGACATGTCTAACTTCCTAAAAAAGAACAAATATCATTTAGCAAAAAGTCCCACTGAATGATTTATTGAAAATCAAGTTGTTTAAACAAGCTAAACTTATTGTCAAAACTATCGTAGCAAGAAATCCTAAGCATACAAAATTTAGTCGTAAGCAGATGCATTTGAATATTGGATGTCAAATATTCATGTTAGCTGATTTTCTCTTCAAGACAAACTCTTATTATTATAATTGTGATACCTGATTTGCCACATGTAACCTTCAGAATATGGAAGTTTGTCAAACATTTCCAGGTGAATCCGTTGAATTTGAGCAGAGAATCAAATGCATTAATTACAAGTATGTTGAACTCGTTGTCTGTTGTTGGAACTATGGATATTATCTACTTATCGAGGGTTTTGAGTTTTGTAGGGAGAAAAAGTACCACTGATAACCGATATGACGATTTTCGAGAAAATGAATTAGTAAAAAGTCATACCTCTTTACGAGAGCCTGGAGGAAGTTCTGCATATGTCCAATGAGAAAAGCAAAGAGCAGGAGCCCGAGTCCAATAATGGCCATGGTAAAAAGGACTTCCCAAACAAAATAGCTTGGAGTTTGATTTCCCGCAAGAGTACTGATTTGCTTCAAAAATATCAAACATAAACACATAATGTCAACAAACAGTATCAATAAGTCTACAGAGTTTGAAACAATATTTGTTTCACTATCGAAAATACTTTTATTAAAAAGATGACAGGAAAAAAAACATATGGGAGAGGAAAATATGAAGCATAAACTGGAAAGCAAAGTACTTCAAGCCAAAACCAATTTTTCGTAGTTTTACATGTTAAAACATTGTTACCGTTAAAGAACAAAGGAGCAAGCAAGCCTGAGCTTCTATTCAAACATTAAGCAGATGCAAAACCGAAAAGATTTCAACTTATGGAATGATAGGAAAACAAATGGTCAATAATAATCGATATCCTGATATGAAATATGAGGAAAAAGTATTAGGTTTCCTCAGATTTGATTCCAACTAGGAAGCATAACAACAAAACATTAAATCTCTACGAACAGACCAGCTGTGTGTTCTATTACCGCTCAACAAATAGAAATTTAATGTAAATATTAATAAAACCAATGTCTAATTAGCCTACACCAAGTTAGTTCATCAGTGCCAAGTGTTCTGGTGGCAATATTACCTGGAATCCCCAAAACAGCGAATATATGTATCTGGTGGCAATATTATGTTCTGTGGTAAGGTTGACAGCTTGCTTATAAATTCCATAAGGGAAACCTTCTTCCGTGAAACAAGAATTAGAACTTCCACGGAGTTTCCAAGCCTCCCAATTTGGATCACTACGAATAAATGTACCAGTACCATTCCCACGGCCACAATCTATATACTTGCAGAAACTGCCGTCTTTATGGCAGGCATCTTGAAGACATTGGTTAACCCTCTGTTACAAGAAAGAGACAGGCAAGGAGAGAAAGTAAAGAAAAATTCATCTACACTTTCACACATTTATTAATTAAAAAAAAAAAAAAAAACTTTTCTGGTGAACCATAATAACAGAAAAGTATACAACCTTCATGTTGAAGTATCTAGAATCCATATAAAGTAACAAGCATGCAAGGACATATTCATAAAATAGAAAAAAATGAAGGAATCTATTTGTTGCTTAAATTTCCTATGTCCGGCCCAAGCGTCGTTTGATTTTATAAGTGCAAAAACAACATGAATGAAAGAATTTGTGGAAATGTTTGAGATGCTAATTTATAAAATGATATTTTCAAGCATGTTATAAAGTCTGAAGACATGCATTTCCGATGTGCAACCCAAAGAGAGAGAGAGAGAATGATGCAATATTTTGATTGTGAATTATCACTTCAAGAAAACATTAATCAGGGACTGCCTTATGCCTGCATATCTCATGTGATAAATGATTGAATATGATTTATAAATGTACCACAAACAGTTAAGCAACTTAAGAGCATGTCAAACTTCCAGATAAAGCAAATGCAGGAAAGTATTTAAAAGATGAAATAAGCAATTTTAAATGCTATAATGACTTTTGCCTACCTGTAATCCAAAAAGGTACCAGCCTGATCCAATAACGTGACCGGACAAGACATAAGTGAAAATATTCATGAAAAAATTTGCCCATGCCGACTCAAATCCAGTTGATGACTGACCAGCAAACAGAGGCAGAAACCTATACAATTTGGGAACATACTGAACAAGAACTGCTGTTCGTAAAAGATTTTTAGCATAATTTGCTCCAGATAATGCCAAGTTACGGGGTAGAACAATCAATATCATTATCTGTAAACAAGGAAAGGAGATAACTTATGACATGGAACAAGAAGTATAGCAACAATAAATATGAAGCATGTACCATATGCGGTGGGAGTAAATAGATATATACAAAAGCACATGCCTAACCAATTTCAAGTAGATTAAAAAAAAAAAAAAAAAAAATTACTAGGGAGCTTAAATCTTCACACAGTGTAACTTGTGGTTATACCTTCCGCCAATCCATCATCTGTCATACACACACAATTTCATGTGCACACAGATGTACATAAGATTATGTACATAACAGGAGGTCAAACATACTAAATTATATACTATTCAAAGTTTTATACATATTCTGGACCAAAATCAGTTCAGACCCTAAAATCCGAGCCAAACTCAAAACTCGATCTGATTGATACATTAAGTATAAAAATCTAACATCTTAAATCATAAGAAGGCAGCAAAATATTAAAAAAAAAAAAAAAAAAGTTCATGGAAGAAAGAATAAAAACATAAGAAATTACCGCAGAGAAGCGAAGAGTTTTTTTTTTTTTTCCTTTTTCTACCTTTTCTTTTTTGATATCCAGAAAGGCGGAAGATGGTTGAAGGATAAGGTAAACTCACTTGAGGAAGTGGTAATACTATGAAGAAGTCAAAACAAAAGTATCCACGAAGGTAATTGAGAGCTATTTTCTTTGGATGGTCAACCAACTCCCCAGCTCCAACCACCCTAGATTCGGGAGCAACATATGCCAGTTTAAACTGCAAAATACAAATAATAAATCATTTAATCAGACAAGCAAAAGAAAATCAATTAGATATGTAAGTCACTGTACCATGCTGAATTACAGAAGAACTCCTTAGACAACCATACCACACAAAATTTCCACAATACATATGCAATGCATCAGATAACACATATGAAGCTTTTCTCCTAAAAGGTATTTCTTAGGATTCTAAACTAATCAAGCTACCAAATCGCAAAATCAAAGACCTTCAATGCTAAGTAAAACACAATGATAATAAAAAAACTAGAAAGAAAAAATGATAGAAGTTATGTTTATCCCTCAAGCGTATATCCAACAATCTAGACCAATGTAAACATCAGAAAACTTTATTTCTAACAAATACATAGGTGACAAATAAGCAATGTAGTTCCTTTTCTTCCAGTAAAAGTATTACAAATGAGATTATCTTCCTTAATCTAATGCAACCATAATTGAGCTCAATCCAATCTTTCCGTGTTAAAAAGCTTAATGCTAATGTTGAGCAATTACTTGTCAACTTAAACTTTTAGGTCAAGTGATTACTTGATATAGTATTAGTCTATTAGAACAAAGATCTTAAGTTCATATTCTGTATATCTCATGCATCTACATCTATATTTTTGTCTTAGCAATCCAACCCACTGACTTAGAGGAAACAAATTTAAGTTATGCATTTCAGGTCACCATGTTTCTTATTTTTCTATTCTTTACCTCTATAGTTTGAGTACATGGCTACTATTGGAAATTGATAAGCAAAATTTGGAACAAAATCAATCTAAGCCTTCACTCTTGCATATGCAGTCTTATGGATGTATGGCTGATCAATGATATGAGATTTGTAATAATGAAGGAGCTCACTTGTGATTCCAATAAATAGAAATTAATTAGTAGCAAAAATCAGCATAAACTATAATGGCAAATGTTATGACAAAAAAGAAAAACCAATAAAGGATCAATCTACCTGAAGAAGCATGTTCAAAAAGTACACGAAATCAGTCACGGATCTAAAAAACACAATAGCTGTAGTCCAGGGCCAGTTGATGGCTATGCACTTATTATCCTGCATCCAGAAAAGAAGCATATGTAAAAACTACATGCTGAAGTAATGAAATAAGATGAATATTAATACTGAAAATCTTGAACAAGCACACAACATACTAATAAAACCAACTTAAACACATAGTAACAACGAAAAGTCAAATGATGAACTACAGTTTTTAGAAAAATCTTAAAAGGAAAAAGGGAAAAAATACTAGCAAATAATCAACAAAAAAATATATATTTTGAAAAAATTGGAAGAAAAATCACCGACCATATTTGAAAAAGAAGTAGAAAAGCAAGATGACCAGGGCAGCTATTGAGAAGGGTTTCACAAGTTAAGAGTAGAAGGAATATTGCAACAACAGGAAATAGGACTTTGCTCCATGGCAACTAAACTAAAACCGTTTCTGAAATCCAGTTAAAATGTCATTTTGAGGGGCTGTGCTTGTCTGATATGTTTTCTCAACATCAGGTGTTGCACATTCTATTCTCATTAATGGAAATAGCACGGTTTTGTCCAACCACGTTAAACTTGTATTCTTGCTGGTTTTCAGTAGTTAATTTATTTTCATATTAGGGTAACTAAATTAGGGTTATTTATGAAAGTTTTTAAGTCCTAGCTAGAACATGAAAGAAGTTATGATATACAAGAAGATTTTCGGTTAGAAGTGGATATTGATCCATGCGCAAAGTGTATGACAAATAAAAGATAAAACAATATGGGCAGTGAAAGACATACACACACATATATATATAATACATATGGACTCTTCCACAGAAATGACTACTGCTCAGGAAGGCCATGAGTTGAAATACAACAACGTATGGTAGAAAATAAGACAAGTGAAAATTTTAGAACACTGCAATTCCTTGCTATTGGTAAAGCTATCCTTCAATATAGCTCTATACCGGGGTTTTGCAGGACTTGAAAGAAAGTTAATCCAGAAAAATTAAGAGATACTTTAAAGGAGTACCTTTTCTCCTTGTCCCAGAAAAATTGATTTAAAAACTTCACAAACATCTAAGTATCTTCACAGGTGCAATAATAAGTCCAGATAGAACATGAAAGACAATATATACAACAAGATTTTCCGTAGAAGGGATATTGATCCTCAGAAGCCATGTGCAAAGTATATGACAAATAAAAGATAAAAAACAATATGGGCAGTGAAAGAACATATATATAAATATTATGGACTGTTCTGCGGAAATGGCTTACTGCTCAGAAGGCCGTGAGTTGAAATAAATAATGTATGGTAGAAAATAAGACAAGTGAAAATTTACAAAACTGCAATTCCTTGCTATGATTGGTAAAACTATCCTTCAAGATAGCTCTATACCGGGGTTTTGCAGGGCTTCAAAGGAAGTTAATCCAGAATATTAAGAGATACTTTAAGGAATACCTTTTCTCCTTGTCCCAGAAAAAATGATTTAAAAACTCACAAACATCTAAGCTCTCACAGGTGCAATAATAACACCAAAAGCATGGGAAAATTTTGTTTCAAACATTGAATGTCAAGCATTAAAAAAGTAGCCTTTTGGTTCAACATAGAATGACAATATTGGTATTTTGGTATGCCTTCTCTCTTCATGTTTCTCGTAATCCTAGGAATAATCTTCTATTTAAGAAATCTCTAAGCAATTAAGGAGGCCCTGGAGCCACTACTATAATAAGAAAGCAATAAAAGAGAAGAAATACAAAAAGGTACCCTAGGACACGAGTAAAAAAGGACATAAATCCTCTAGAAGCCAGAAATTAACCACCCTAACCCAGAGCCTAAAGGATCTGTAAGGAAACAGTAACTCGACTCTCCCAAAGAATCATGAAACTTGTAAAAGGCGGAAATAATATTAGTATTTGTTCATTTAGGCACTTAATGGAGTAAAAAATGGTAATGGAACTCAAATAGCTCTAAGTAACATCACCAAAGGAGATTCAAAAAATAAAGTGGTTTTATAAAATTTGATCTCCTAAGTGGACACCTATTTGGTCTGTGCTGCTAAGCAATTGGTTCCTGAAAAGATAGCTCAAGTGATCAAGAAACAATTATCAATTGTCTCTAAAAATCTAGTAAAATCATGAATAGAGTTCTCCAACTTTCATAAACAACTGCCTCCTTTCTGATGCTGGACATAGAAGTAGAAAGATCAAAACTCAAAATCAAGTTGAAAAGGTTGAAACTAAAAACTATATTTCATATTCAAGAACACAACATATGAAATGTGATGAGACTCCTGCAATGATAACAAACAATGCCAAACAGTACAAGAAACAGAATATGTTCACACAAAACAAGCCTCAACAAGTAAGATGGAGAAAAGCAAAAGAAGAACAACCAAAACAATTGATAAACTCAACAGATAGCTCCAGCAATTCGAGGAGCTGGGGACCTCCTACAATAGACACTATTTTGATCTCCCCCCTTCACCAAAACTGACCCTTTATTTAAATACCTTCATGACTACCTATTTACTAAAACTTTGATTCCCTTCACACGGGGCTGTAACCAATTTCTCTAACAACTAACAGCAAGCACCACACTCTTACCCCTTTCTGACCCTATTGTCGCTTATGCCCTCTGTTTTGTAAACATGCTTAACGGGGGTCTTCAATACCCTCCCTTGAAGAACCACTGTTCAAGGTGGGGATGGAAAATTTTCACCGATACCACACCGCTCCTCCACTCCTTTAATGCCCTCGCTTCCTTACTCAATTCTCCTCATCTTCTGTCATTCGCCGGGAGGGTTGTTCGCAGGTGGGAGAGGTGTGGAATCGATCTTTTGAAGAGTGTCCAGCTTGTACTCTGGTGACCGGAAGTCGGCGCCGGGCGACGCCTCTCCTCCATGGGCGGCACTCCGACGAGGGGTTGACGAAGTGTTGCTGTTGATTGAGAAAGGGATATGTTCTAGATCTGGCGAATGAGCGATTGTGTTGTATTGAACCCTAGATCCAATTTCTCTTGATCAATTACGCCTTGACCCATACCTAGCTGACCGAGTCCACTTCCAGGTCCCTTCTCCAATTGCTCAAGCCCACACTCAAGTTGTATGTGTTACTCCCGTTACCTAGCCA